AAGCGCAAGGTCGTGAGTTCGGTTCCCGGTACCGGAGAAAAAACAAAAAAAAAAAAAAAAAAAAAAAAAAACTATTCCTTTTAAGTTAGGCATAGGAGTAGGATTACACTTTGCTAATTTAAACCTTTAGGGCTGGGAATGTAGCTCTGAGGTAGAATGCTTGCCAAGCACGTGTGAAGTCTTGAATTTGATCCCCAGCATTGTCAGAAAAACAAATTTTTACCTAATTGTTATTAGTGGTTTTTTTTTTTTTTTTATATTTGTAGAATATACTGCGACAACAACAAAAGGTTTTTCAACAGTCTAGAATTGTTCAGAACCAGAGACTGAAAACAGTTAGACAATTGTATGAGCAGTACATAAAGGTACGTTATGGGTGGTAATGTAATACATTCTTTTTTTTTTTTTTTTTTTTCTCTTTTTGAGACAGGGTCTTGATATGCAGTTCAGGCTGGCCTTGAGCTCACTGTGTAGCCCAGGCTGGTCTCGAACTCACGATCCTCCTGCCTCAGCCTCCCAAGTGCTGGGATTACAGGTGTGCGCCACCACGCCTGGCCTATAATACTTTCTTGTAGAGCATAATGTACTTACGGAAGTAGTACTTTTTTCCTTCCAAGTTTATGGAGAAAAAAATTTGTTCATACATTTTTTAACTACTTCTAATTGTAGAAACAAGAACAGACCTGTTACTGACTTAAATGATAAATATATCCTTAGAATTCTAGTATTTTCATGGATTATTCAAGATAGAAATAGAAAATTGGTAATTTTACCTAAAAATGTACTTATCATGCATTGAATCCATACTTAACACTTGTCATCGTTCTGTTTAACTTAGAAAGTCTGTAAATCATTGCTACATACGCTCTTACTTGACTTTGCATCCTCAGCGTTAGTTAAGTAGATAGCAGTTGAAACTGTTGAACAATTCTATATTTTTGAATCTTTACTTTTTGGTTTTTTGTTTGTTTTTTTTTGTTTCTGAGACAGGGTCAGCTATGTAGTCTAGGCTGGCCTTTGAATTCACTGTGTAGCCCAAGCTGCTCTTGAGCTCAAAGCAGTTCTTCTGCCTCAGCTTTCCCAGTACTGGGATTGTAGGTGTGCACCTGGCTTTATATTTTCAAATGTTTACAGAAATATTTATGGCATATTTGCTTTTATTTTATTTTATTTTATTTTTTTGGTTTTTTTCCGGTACCGGCAATTGAACTCATGACCTTTGTACTTGCTAGGCAGGCGCTGTTCCACTGAGCTAAATCCCTAGCCCTGGCATATTTGCTTTTAGAATTGCTGCAGTAGGCCAGGAGTGGTCACATACACCTATAATCCTAGCACTCAGGAGGCTGAGGCAGGAAGATTACTGCAAGCTTGAGGCCAGCCTGGGCTGCAAAGAGTTCAAGGCTAGCCTGAACTGCATAGTGAAACCCTGTCTCAGGCTGGGCATGGTGGCACACGCCTGTAATCCCAGCACTCGGGAGGCTGAGGCAGGAGGATGGTTGCGAGTTCGAGACTAGCCTGGGCTGCAAAGTGAGCTCAAGGCCAGCCTGAGCTGCATAGCTACACCCGGTCTCAAAAAGACCAAAAAAAGAAACTGTCTGAAAAAAGACAAAAATAAAGAATTGCTGCAGTAACCAAAAATGACTTTATATGCCAAATTTATAATCATAAAAGATAACCCAGAATATAATAGGCACCAAGAATTAAAACTTTGTGGGTTGAGAGTTATCTACTAAATATGTGCATTTTACCACATTGTGGTCTAAATAGTAAAACAGTTTTAAAGTAAATTATTTTTAAAGAAATTTAAAATAATTTATATGAACATAAAAGTTATTTTTAAAAGTGTTTGCAAGTAGGGATCTTGCCAGCTTGTTCTACTGCTCCCTGACAACTTTTTAAATGTTATCACTAAATGTTACCATTTAGGATAGGAATTGGAGCTCAACTCAGACACGTATTTCCTTATTTTGCACACAGAGTTATTGTAAGAGCCTGTAACTTCACCTCTGCAGTGGTTCATGATCTTTTTTTTTTTTGGTCTTTTTGAGACAGGGTCTTGCTATGCAATTCAGGCTGGACTTGAACTCACTTTGCAGCCCAGGCGGGTCTCGAACTTGCAATGATGCTCCTGCCTCAGCCTCCCCAGTGCTGGGATTACAGGCGTGCGCCACTACACCCGGTTCATGATTTCTTTAATTCCCACTGCTACCACCCTAGTTCAGCACATCATTCTTTGCTTGTACTATTACAATTCTTTGATTTTTCTATGTCCAGTCCAGTCTTCATAGGTCTGCTATGTTATTTTTCTAAAACACATCTCTTTCCTCCTGAAAAACTTACCATAGCTTCTCATTCTGAATGGTTAGGTGTCAGATCCCCCAGTGACAGGACTGTAAATTTCAGTTACTACACCTGCCCATTACTCCCAGCCCTCTCCATATCTGCTTCCTGTGAACTCACTGGCTACTTCATGCTTTTGCGCATGCTTGTCCTTTAGGTTACTTTTAATTCCTTTTTATTTATTGCAACTCTATTTTGCCAACTTAATTGGAATTAATCCCATTTTCTACCATATTGCCACAGAAAGCTGTGTTTCCATTGCTTTTGCAAAGTTTATGTTTCTTCTCACTGGAATAAGGAGGCAATTCTGTGTTATTCTTTAATTTCTCCACAGCACTTAATATAATACTTTTTATAGTAAGTGCTAGAATAATGATTTGTTGAAAAAGAGTAAAGATTTAAAGCATAAATTTTTTTGTTCCTAACTTAAAGAAAGTGGCCATACAGATAATCTTATTTCCACTGCTGAGTTCATGTCTCATTGACTATTAGTAATAATAATCAGGTTATAACCTGATGTTTGGGAAACTTACTAGAAAATTTCAAAATTATGGTACTTACTGATGGTTGTCCCATCTAGCCTTTTTCTTTTTTTTCCTTATTTAATACTTGATAAATCCATTGTTTCAAGCAGTTTATTGTACTTTCTGTAATTCTACATACACTTACTACAGTACTGTTGTAGAATTATAGAATGTACAAATTCTGTATTGTACTATTGTACATTCTATAATTATGTGACTCATGTCTTAAAATTTTGCTTCTTTATAGAAAATGTATTACTCATTTTTTTATTTGGAATAAATAATGGGCATGATTTGAATATTTTAAAAGTTCTTACTTTGGAAATTATTTTTACATTGAGATCCTGAGATGAAAAGTTAAGGCTTGTAACTGAGTGAGCCTTTTGTGTTTTAGAGTTTGGAGGACTTGGAAAAGAATCACGATAATCTACTTAGTGGTACACAAAACGAACTTAAAAAAGAAATGGCAATGTTGCAAAAGAAGATTATGATGGAAACTGTAAGTCTGTATTTTATGTGTAAAACATTAGGATTAATGTCAGCACTGAAAGATTTTATTTGCTGAAATAGGTATAACAGTTAACTGAGAATTAAACAAACTTTTACTGTCTCTTTCGTGAAACAGCAGCAGCAGGAGATGGCAAGTGTTCGCAAGTCTCTTCAGTCCATGTTACTCTGATGACTCTTTGGAGACAGAACTTGAACCTGAGTAATGTGACACAATTTATCATTAGCCGAGTCACACAAGTCTTCAGCTTACAAGCTCTAGTTAAACTTAACACCTTTGGTCATAGAAGTTCTAGTTTAAATTGTAACATTTTTAATCATTATCATGTTTAAGTGTAAGACCTCCCTATCTATTCACTTCCAAATAAAATCCAAACAGTTATGTGAGGAGCAGCTATTCCTACACTATTTGTGTCAAACTTTTAGCTCTTCAGTTGTAACAGTGAATTTTTCTAACACTGTTAGCTTTTGTCAATAAAGAATATTCAGATTTAGGTTTTGGCTTTAGTGTATCTCTGCCCATCCCTTAACATACAAAGAACAAGTTACATTGCTTTGGGGCTCAGTGGGAGTGGGGTTGGGGTTGGGGTCGGGGTCCGGTCGAGTTTTGAGACAAGAGTCTTGCTGTGTTGCCAAGGCTGATCCCAAACTCCTGGGCTTGAATGATTCTTCTGTCTCAGCTTCCTGAGCATCTGGGATCACAGGTATGTGCCACCACACCCAGCTTACATTATTCTTTAAACAAAAAAACTTTTATATAAAAACTTCTTTCTATATACTTACTACATTACACAGCTGGTTCTAATGAAAATAAGATTTAAAAAAAAAAAAATCTATTGACTTAGAAAATTTATTAAAAGCTCAGCTTTGTACCCTGGAATAAACTGCCAAAATCAAAATAACTGAAAAAGATTTATAAATATTAGTTTAAAGATAAAAATTTACAAATGTGTCATTTCTATAAAGACATCAAAATACCCTAGAATCAGGCTGAGTTTGCAGTTAAGTGACTCACGCTTTTGTAATGATGAGTACATTGTGACACAGCTGAGACGGTATAAGCATGTCACATCTGTCCCTAAAGACACATACCTTGAACCCCTTTTCTTAGTACTCAATAGATAAACAAGTTTCATTTTCAAATTTCAGCAGTTAATGTAAACATTCTTAAAATGTGCACATAATACAGAAAAACATGAAATGTTTAATAAGTGAAGTTTCAACATTTGTTTGAAAACAAGTCAGTTAAGCTTAATTTATTGAAATTACTTTGAACCATTCAGAATAAAAATATCCCCGTTACAAGGAAACAATTTCTTTTTTTTCCATATTTTAAGTTTTAATATTTGCCTCTAAAAACCACTTACAAGGTTTTTCAAGTTTTAAAAACAAGTCTATAGAGATTGTCATGTGTGTTCGTGTCTTACAGTTAATCCTAGGGAGCACTGAGCTGTACCCCATCCATTTTGAGGCAGGGTCTTGTTAAACAGACTGGACTGTCCTTGAACTTGTGATCCTCCTGCCTCAGCCTCTTTGTATATGACAAGTGTGTGCCACCATTCTCAGCTCAATTCTGCCCTTTTTATAGCTGATAATTTGTTCAGGAAGAAATTTAAGTCTTCACAGATATTTGACATTGAGGGCCATTTGTGCGGGCATGGTGGCACACGCCTGTAATTACAACTGCTCTGGAGGCTGAAGCAAGAGGATCTCAAGTTTGGGCCCAGCCCAGGCATTTTAGCAATACCCTATCTCAAAATTTAAAAAATAAAGAGGGCTGGATATGTAGCTCAGCACTCCTGGGTTCAATCCCCAATACACATGACTATAAAAAACTCAAACAAGGGGCTGGGGATTTAGCTCAGTGGCACAGCACCTGCCTGGCAGGCGCAAGGTCGTGAGTTTGATTTCCGGTACCGGAAAAAAAAAAAGCCTTTACTTGTTAGTTTTTCCCTCCTTTTGGCGATGCTGGTGATCACCTGTACTAAACTGTGCTCTCCACTCTCCCTTGCACTATGGCCCCAGGCCCAGAACAGAAATCTTAAGTTCTAGTTAGATGGCTGCCACAGCGCTCTCTGAGAAGTTCCCTGATACGGAGAGGGAACACACCCTGGTCTCCCCTGTGCTCAATTCACCTACATGCATTTTTGCCTTTTAAAGAACGTCAGATTCCGCTGCTTTTCCTGCGGTATGCCTTTCTCTGTGGAGACACAGTCACCGGTCTGTCCCACCTTTATTTTCTGACTATTTCATCATAGGGCCTATGGAAGTTACAAACGGGGCCTCAGGGTTTGGCCCCCTAAAGATGGCTGTAGGAACACTTTATGAAGAGCAGCCCAAGTACTCCCAGCTGAGACTGGGTCAGTAAAACGACCAATGTGCCAGCAGCCGGCACTTCTCATCACCTGATACTCTCGGGGTGGCATTTGTGCCACGTTCTTACGGGTTACTGGCCATGTCGACTGACTGAGCTACTATCCAGTTGTGCATTAAAGGAAAGATTTAATGTCCACCTTTTCATGGTAATGAAATTTTAACTGTCAAGGAACAAGTTACTCTCAATACAAAGTCTTGAATTTTTCGGAGTTGGCATAACAAATTCCTTTTACTAAAGACAGATTATAAGAATTCGTAGAGCTCTTAAATCCTAGTTTGTGCATGAAAGCAAGTACTTCCCCGTTTTTTTTTGGTACTGGAAATTGAACTCAGGACCTTGCACTTGCCAGGTAGGCACTGTTCTATATCCCCAGCCCTAGTTTCCCACCACGGTAATGCACACCTGTGGGCAGCGGCTTGGAGGACAATCTGCTTCTCCACTGCTCTGTGACGGTATCATAAACCATGCACTTCGCGGTGGGGTGAGCTCACCGCGACTTTAGCGTCACCTAAAGTCATTTAAGTTCTGGCTTTTTATGTCCTCTTGGTAGGGTCTGATGAGGACTTTGTGTAGACACAGACACTGAGAACTACAGGGGTTCAATGCTTTTCTGTCCTGAGCGCTGAAATGCTTGGTCTTGTTTCTGGTGAGTCTACCCACTGTATTGCTCTAATACTTGTGACAAAATGTGGGTGAGGCTTCGTGAGGCTTCGCTGCTCAACAGACACAGGGCATCTGCAGGACTTGCTCCTAGCAAATAGCACCTTATCTGGCAGCATCCTACCGCCTGCAGGGGCTTCCTCCTGGCCTAGGCTCCCCTAACTGCTCCTCTCTTCCTCGGGCTATTAGTCAACATGCTTGTGAACCTGTTCAGGCGCCTGGTGACAGGAAATCTTGAAGATACTTAGGTGCAGGTGTCTTGAGATTTGTAGGCACAAAGCACTGAAGTACAGCAGCATGTCAAGTGAGGCAATGACCTTTGGAAGGGAAACAACAGGACACGCGTTACGGTCTCTCTTCTCTGAGTGCGCAGCTCTTTCTGCACCCCCGCCCCACCTCAGATGTTCTGAACCTAAATTCCTAATGGAAAACGTTCCGCTGTAGAGCGCTTTCCTGTGTCAGCGTGGGCCTCCTTTCAGCCCTCGAGAATGTGGGGACTGCAGCTGCTGCGGCTGAGGCTCCGAGGAGAGCAGGAAGCTCCGGAGTGCCAGCTGAGCTCTTCTGACTTTTGCCTTTCTGGGGGTGCCAAGACACAAGTGTCCCAGGGAAGAGCTGCGGTTCCTATCTCAGGAAGAGCGCCCTCCTCCAGGCACTGTCCACCCTCTGAGGCTGGCTGTGAGAACGCAGAGGAACCAGAGTGGAGGAATTAACTGCTTCCTTCAGAAGGAGCCTGCGCTGTGCCTGGGAGGGGCTTCTCACCCGGGGGGAGCGCCCTGTCAGTCACCAGCGGGTCCTTTTTTCTCTGAGAATGGCGCTTCCATAAGGAAAAAGAAAAGCTAAGTGGGGCTTCCTTTGTCCACCAGTCTCAATCGCTAGTGCAAACCTGGCCCCCTGCTCACTACAGAACAGGTCCTGCAGTTCTGAACACGCAACATTTTAATTATGTTAATTCCATTTGGTAACACACATGCCAGGGGCTGCTATGTAGTCCAGCCTGGCCTCAAACATGCAGCAATTCTCCTGCCTCAGCCTCCTCAGTGCTGGGACTATAGTGTGTGCCACCACACCTGGCTAATGCTCCATTATCTGATTCTGTGACTTAATTGTTAGTAAGTAATGAGCTGCTCAGATGACTTGTGTTTCTCTTAAGCACCATATTCTGTATTTCATAATCATTTTGAATAGAAATTACTGTACATTTATCCACACCCTTGCTTAAGCAGGATACAACGATGAATTTAACCTTTGTGACAGGCATCGTTAAAACAAACAATGACATCGGCAAGAACAATACACATATATAGGGCTGCTACATCTAGCTTAAAATGGTCTCAGAATCCAGTTCTGTTTTCTCAGTGTTAGCTGATGGTTCTTCACGCAGTAAATGCACACCATTGCTAGCATTAAGTCCATTCACTGATGTGTTACCTGCTATAATCTGAATAATTTTTTTTTTTTTTTTTTTTTTTGGTTTTTCTCTGGTACCGGGAACCGAACTCATGACCTTGCGCTTGCCAGGCAGGTGCTTTTGCCACTGAGCTAAATCCCCAGCCCCCTGAATAATTTTTAAAAAAAATTTTTTTTTAAATTTTTGAGACAGGATCTTGCTCAGTAGTTCAGGCTGGCCTTGAATTCACTATGTAGCCTAGGCTGGCCTCAAACTCTCAGTAATCCTTCTGCCTCAGCCTCCCAAGTGCTGGGATTACAGGCGTGTGCCACCATTCCCAGCTGGGAATAATTTTAATAAGCTTGATTAAGAGTAGTCAGCTTCCTTTGGGCAGTATTTTTTAAATACAAAGCTGTCTTTCCAAGGATCTAGGCCATTAGAAGCCTAATCACCAGGCATGTTGACTATTTTTACACATAATACAAAATGACTGACAGTTTAGAAGAACTGATTTTAAATATTCAGAAACATTTACTATCGACTAAATATTGAGACAACTGATATCTAATAGAAATGGCTATTAAGCAAAATATGGTCTGATACTTCTTTTTTTTTGAGACAGGGTCTGGCTATGCAGTTCAGGCTGGCCTTGAACTCACTCTGTAGCCCAGGCTAGTCTCGAACTTGCAACGATCCTCCTGTCTCAGTCTCCCAAGTGCTGGATTACAGGCGTGCGCCACCACGCCTGGCTGTTCTGATATTTGTTAAAAATAAAAATCAGAAAAGTACTTACCATTGCTATCCACAGAACAACATATTCATCTACAAAATTGTTAAAGTACTGGTCTAAAAACAAAAGACCTGGACCGATAAAGACAGTGTCTTGAAGATACAGTTCACTTTTGGTCATGTGAGCTATCTATAAAAAAGGAAACAAAGTAATGTCACTATTAAGTTTTAAATATTTTATCTTCAGAAGTGAACTATAAGTTCAATTTACTATTAAGACAAAGAGACCATCTGATCTCACATTTTATCTGGGAATACTTATCTGTGTCTTCCAAATTCAGGATTGGGTAGCTTATTAAAATTTGCAGTGTTTAAAAAAAGTAATAAAAGAAAAGGAAATAAAATTTGCAGTGTTTAAAAAAAGTAATAAAAGAAAAGGAAATAAAATTTGCAGTGTTTAAATTCCTTAATAATCAGGAATGTACAACTTATAATTAGAACCTAGCAAATAACTAAAAGAACAGAACGTAACATTCACCCACATGATAGTCTTATTTAGAGCACAGATGGCTATTTACTGTGCGGTGATAACCATAGAGGAAATCCCACGCAGTGCATGACATCATTCCCAGCTTTGGTCCGAGGACAAGGTCCAACCTTTGTACCATAAACCATGCATGTTTCTTACCACTAGTTTCTGTGCAACTTTAGTGAAGACACACCCAAACATGAGGGTGTAAAGACACGGGTGCTTTTCAAACAGGTGTGTGGCCGACCTTTTATAGATTATTACTGCCAGGATAAAAATCAGTCCTATGTGGAGTCCAGGCGATAGCACACTGGTGCCCTAAGATAAAGCAGAAATGACATTTTCGACACACACTTGCGACAAGGCAAACATTTTCTGAACATCTATTTTATCAAGGAGCTGCAGCCTTAAAGTACAGAAGCCTAAGGTGGCTTCTCAAATTCCACAGAGCCTAGCGTGACACACATGGGACACAGCAGGTGTCTGGGTCCCGTGTTTCACATGCACATGTTTAAAACTAATGAACTACAAATTAACATTATGATTTATTCCACAGCAACTTTTACCATGGCAATGCCCATTCATTAACATTTGGGCTATAAACTTGTTTCAGACAGGGTCTCACTACATAGTTCAGGGTGGCCTTGAACTCACTATGTAGCCCAGGCTGGCCTTGAACTTGCTCCAATCCTCCTGCCTCAGCCTCCTGAGTGTTAGAATTATGTGCAGGTGCCACGACCATGCCTGAAGATATTACAATAGTTCTTTTAAGCATATTTTGGAGAAATTTCAATATAATTTATTTTCTGAGTAATAAACTGCCCATATGTGAAATCTTAGAACTTCAGCAGCTCTCCCATCACTCCATCAGGACCTGATTCCTTTTTCTTCCTCCTCTCTTATTAGCTCACAGCACAAATGCACGCAAGATAACACAGGGGAACTCCTGACTATACAACAGTGAAACAGTGAGTGATTAAATGAAATCGCAGGCCACCTGCCTGTGGAAATATAAACAATTTTTAAGATAAAATGCTTTTGTGCTATGTGCCTAAAATGAATTCTGTAGGACATTTACAGCCAAGTGTGGTGGCACGTGCCTATAATCCCAGCACTCGGGAGGCTGAGGCAGGAGGGTTACTGTGTTCAAGGCCAGTGTGGGCTACCTAAGGAGACCCTGTCTCAAGAAAACAAAACAACCCAAGAAAAACCACCACCACCATCCGCACCGGGATGTTCAGTTCCATCCCCATGTATACGCTCTGCCCGTTTCCATGTCTCTCCGAGCAAACACTGCACAGTGACGAGCTCTCTGCTTACTGCTATCGTGGACCCGTTCTTGCCAACGCCGCCGTGCAGGATGACACGGAAATAACCGCAACAGGACAGCATTGCTCCGCTGACCACTCCGATGGCTGTGAAGATCTTCAGTCTTATTTCTAGAATGGGTATCTTCAGGGGCGAGGAAAGAAATCATTAAGAAAACAATTTTTCCGGTTCCATCACAAAGAAACATACGGTACAGCCCTGTCCAACAAGATATCCTTTTTCTTGTAATCAAAGTTAGTGGCTGACTCATTTTTGAAATGGTTTTAAGGAGTAAAAAGTCCGAATCAGCTGAGTCCGCGTCTGTAACTGTGATTAAATATGTAATCTCAAAAGCCTGTGTCCAGCGGGAACACGAAAAAGGATAGTTCTCCGGGAAACGCGGAGCCTCGGCCACGCCAGCGGTGACTGCGCCGACAGCAGGACAGAATTCATGCAAAACCGCGTGTGGCGGCGGCCGGGGCGCAGCTCCGCCGGGCATTTACCTGCTGTCCGCTGTGCTCGAGAAGCGTCCAGGGCAGCAGAGGGGTTAAAGAACAGTAGCAGTGAATTGCCGGAAGGGTTAGGTGGCTGCATTCCGAAAACAGACTTTGAGAGACTGCACCGGAGTGGGTTAAGTGTGGGAAACCCACATGGAAAGGAACTGTTTCTCCTTGGAGACAGCGAGCAGATGTGCTGTCTTCCCATGAGACTGCCAGAAACGAGGCAGATTTAAGACAACCACGCGTGACAACACGGTACCCGCGTGACTGTCCCGGCGGGCGGCTGGTGCTCCTGGGGTACAGGGGACCCAACCACCGGTAACCGTCTTTTTCTAATAAAATCGCTAGGGTCTATAAATGGACCAAATCTAGTCAGCTGAATGTGAATAACGACTGTGCAGCATAAATATTAATCCTATTCATACCAATTTAAGTGATCACAATAATGAACAAATTTCACCCAATTAAAAGCAATGTACTTATGCCTGTGAGCACTTTATCAACAATTAGTTCTCTCAGTTTGAACACGGGACTCTCGGAAGTCCCCGCTGCGGGCGCAGACAACACGCATTCGCAGCCGCCGTGGCAGCGCCAGCCGTGTCACGGTCCCTTACAGCACCCT